TCTGAGTGTTTGTTGGAGTGGTTCTGTTGTTAACTTGATAAAGAAAATTGAACAGACCATGCCAGTCATATATTGGGTTCTTAAAGATTGTTCTATTAATTTTTGAAGCTGGCTGAAATGAAATTCGAAGGCAATCTTYAAACCTGTGTATGAATTGTTAATTTTATGTAGTAATACTTTATCTTTTAKACAGTAAATTTTACTTCATCTATAAATACTCTTTTATGTGATTTRTTAGTATAAAGACAATATTTGCAACTAATACTAATTGCCTTATAATGGCAGCAAGGCAATGAATTACACAGAACAGATCTTTTTCCCCTCTAAATTCTTCTTTATTTTATAATTACTGAAGTATTTTGTAAGCAAAAATATGATCTCTTTTGGCAATCKTAAAATAAATTATTTTAGCAGTGAACTATTTTTCTGTGTTTGACAAGATATTAATTCCATAAATTGAAAGAATTGGTAGCAAATAAAATTATTCATTACTAATCTGTGCTAAATTATAAATATATAGTCTTAAAGTGATGTAAAAACGAGAAAAATCCTTCATTGAAGTTAAAAGTTTGCAACCTATAACTGCAGACTTCTCTGAGGAAAAATTGTATCACTGTTGTAACTATCARGAAAAGATTTATAGAAATATTTAAAGACAAACATGGCTTAGCTGTTGGAAAAAAAAATCCTCTAAAGAAAGAATATATATGTCTCTCTCTACACATATCTCAACTTGAAAACATCTTGTGGGTGTATTGTATAGTACTTACGTAGCTCATGGAAGTGACTGTTCATAGGAATGTGACACATATATGTTGTCAAAGCAAATTATGTTTAAAATGTGTAACATTTGGTGCTTGCAGCTGTCAAGGAAAGTATTGTACTAMAATTGAGAAACATATGAAAACTGCAGATGCTTGACTTTCCTGTTATTGAAAGAAAATTTTTTAAATTAGACATTATTTTTAAGCAGAAACCAAAGAAAAAGACCTTTAATCTGTATTTAGTGTCAGCTTTATTGCATGAATTACACATTTTATAAAATCGGGCTTGATTGACAACTTCTTTGGAAAACTTMTTTTGAAAATCTAAGCTATGAATTAAAAATAGATTTTATTGTAAATGATATTGCTGTGTTCATTATTAACCTATAATAGGTTTCATCTTATTTTTACAAYAGTAGGTAGGTTAGAGCTGAAAATCCATATGGGGAAGTAATAGATAATATAGATRTAACAATCATCAACGAAGTGAACTGAAATAAATGTTTTTAACTATTTAAACCCCACACTTTAGTTTATGGCAACAGCATAAATAAATATGAGTAAAAATCCAGAACAGAAAGTGAAACTCTGATACGATAAGTTTTCTCTCAGAAAAGTTCTTCAATGATATATGTGTTTTTTTTAAAATCCTTTAATCTATAGATGAGATGGCAAAATTCAGAGTTCTAATTGCCAAACTGACTACAGTTTAATTAAGCCTTTGCAACTTGTCACGAGTTCCTGCATCTAAATTTTGTAGTTATCATCAGCAAAAAAATGAATACTCTTGCATGAAGAATGTTCCTATGATTTGTCTAATGGACTTTAMCCATATGTTTAGTCTTCTTTTTAATATAATAGGTATTATACCAATTATTATTATTATATATAGGTATTATATCAAAATATATATTACAAGTTCTACCCAACTCTTTGTATTCATATTAATCTTTAATACCAACTTTTTGTTTATCGTCCTAAAGAAAGTAAATTCCTGTACTGAAAAAGGAGTAGTAAATTCTGCTCTTATATGGTTGTCATCTGGCATGTTAGTAGCTGTCAGTTTTTCGGTACTTGTAAGTGTTGCAAAATAAGAATAGTATGGGAGAGACTCTGATGGCATAAAATGTAGCAGAAATAATTTTGTTTTAAAGGGCAGCTTTGTCACTTAGGAAATATTCAACACACTGGTAGAAATGAAATGAAAAAAAAATCTTGTTTACTAATTTTAATACTTGCCAGCTAGAGGGGAAAAATGAAATAGATCCAAACAATATGGAAGTAAAGAAAGTAAGACTATAATAGGGGCAAAGACTGAGTTTGAATTTGTCAGATTTGCTAGCTGTACATTAAAGAGTTTAATTTACTAGTGTCTACTTATCAAAGTGTTTGCATTTGAAGGTTTGTTTACTGTGACTGTGGAATTGTGGAGATTCTCTCCAAAGGAAGGACAGATTGGAGCAAAAAAATTCTTTAACTATTTTGTTCTTGGCCACATGCCTAAAGGCACTTCCTCCAACAGCAGATCAGATTGCTTTATTTTTCTATACATTGCAGACTGATGACTAATGTTTTCTTTCAGTAATGCCCAGTAATGGATTTGTTTTCTTATTTTATCCTTTTTGTACAACTGTAAATCTCTATAAATGTCTGCACTTCTCGGTACATTTTTAAGAGTTTTACACTCAGAACTCTGTTTTTTTTTTTTTTTTTTTTTTTTTTTTGTTTTTTTTTTTTTTTTTTTTTTTTTTACACTCTGAATCTCTGATAGAAGAAAAAGATAAAGATATATAAATGGTACAGTATTATAATCTGAGGAAATAGGTTAAGTGTACCAAGTACTGGAAGATCCATTTCACAAATAATCATGCAACATACAGCCAGTCCCTGGTTTTAGCTCCTGTTCTAAAAACCAAGGCAAGTGATTGTTTTCAAGTGGTGTGYGTGTGATGCATTTGACTGATTGCTATGAAATTCAAGAGCAGATTTTCACTTTGCTCTGAAGTTGTTTTGAAAAGTCTTTGTAAGTGTGTATTAAGCATCAAATRTTGAGATAGAATTATGTGACCAATTAGAATGTTTTTACAGAATATAATCATGTATTTCAAGGAAGCTTTGAGTGAAAATCAGGCAAATGAAGGAAAATTGGCAAAGGTCATATTGAATAACTGAGGCTAGAATTTGGCCTCTGCAGTTAGGAAGCAGAGCAAGAAGGACAGCAATTTAGTGTTTTCATTTTTTTTTGCATTAAGAAATATTTTGATATATTGAACTAATAACTAACTATATCTATTGCTTTTGTAAACATTTATTTTTCTAATGGAGCAATAATTTACACTTTAATCGAATTATAGAAATTATGGATATCCTGCTAAATGAATATGACTTTTTCATAYAGATTTTCAAAACTGAGTCTAAAACATTTTACACTGAATGAGAAATCATTACTTAACTTCCAAAACCATTTAACTTTAAAGGTTTTTTCTAAGGTCCATCCTTGAAAGGTTTCGATTTGTTTAAACAGTCTGTCTCCTAGATGGTGGTCTGTGCTGGGTACTTGAAAACAGCAGTGCAGGACTGGGAGGCTGTGGGTCTGGAATACACTTGCATGCTTTGTGGTAATCCACCTGAGAGGTGGATTGGGCAGGCAGTTTTGGGATGGTCCAAAAATTATTGCCTTGTCTTACTGGTCAGTTACAAAATGGGAATCAAGAACTGTTTAGTACCAAAAATATTCTTTCCAGTAAGTTGTAGTAGGATATTCATTATCTACCTCGTGGACAGATACACTTATTGCACTCTATTTGCCAGGATTTTGTGCTAATATGAATCTTTTGCTTTACAAAAAAAAAAAAAAGTGTCTGGAAATGAAGCTCAAAAAATATTTATATTGCTTGCCTATATATTTAACCTCAGACCCTCTCAGAATGTGAAGTTTTCTAGGTGAATTAGTTCACTATTAAGTGCAGTTTATACTGTGTGCTATCACACAACTTCTTAGGCTTTTTATTTCCATTCATTGTCCAAAAAACCCCACTTCACAATGCTACAGTGAAAGGCTGCAATCTCAGTGTGTTACCAGCAGCTTCTATTCTGCCAAATGCTGGGATGTGTAGAAAGCACAGTAAGTGGAGTAAAGCTGCCTTGGACTGCAGGGCAACGTGCATTCAAAACAGTTCATCAGTCTGAGAAAATACTTAGCACTCTCTTGTAGAAAAGCACAGCTCTTTAACTGTTTTCCTTGTGGGCCTCGTGGAAAAGGACTGGTAGATAATACTTCATCTTCCACTTTGCTGAGCCAAATACAGAGGAAGTTGGCCAGGTTGCTGCAGTCCATAAAGGAGAGGCCAGGAGGAGACACATTTTATCCCTTCATAAAGGGTCTGCTTTGGAAAGCAAATACCTATGCTAAGCTATGGTGACAAAGGAAGCTGATAATTAGCATCAACATCAGTTTGATCTGGCTAAAGTTATTTCTACATCGACTTCTTGCAGCTCTTTGTGATCCATGCCATCACTGTGATACTTGATTGAAACCTRTTTATTTGGTTATTAAGGCTGATAATGTTACAGATTTACAGGTTGCTTTCAGATTAATGTGTTATTTGTAATATTTTGTACCATACTAGGTCAAGTACTGAAATTCTCACAGTCATTACCAAATCTGATCTCCGAGTAGAACACAGGTTTTGGGGTTTTGAGTAGAGCATGGATTTGCATATATCCAACTCAAAGGCTGGAGATGTGCAAATCCACCTAATTTCTGTAACTGCTTAATGCTTAGACAGAGCTTTAATAATCTAAGAGTTCAAAGAAGCTTGGATGTGATATTCATGTATCCAACAAATAATATGCATTCTTAGATTATATAATTTTTCTATATGCTTGAAAGTGGCACAGGAAAGAGACTCTTACTCCTATGTTCCTAAAATATTTGTTTCTTGGCAGCARTTGTCTGGATGTATAGAAAATGTACTAAATATAACCTGCCTATGATTTAATGCAGCACACGTGTACAAAATGAAAATAACATTTATACTAGTTGTTATTTTAATAAGGACCTTTTGGGCAAAAGGAAGCACTATTCTGGTCTCAACTACTTATTCAGTGATATAAATAGAAGTTTTGTGTTTCCAGGACTGTCAGTCTGGCAAAGTTCATTTGACCTCAATTTGTGATGCAAGAATCCTGAAAATAATGTCTTCACTAACATTTATTCTGTATTTCTGTTAACAGGAGGAATGCTTTTTGAATTTAGAAGCTCCTATTTCAAGAGTGTGTGGCTATGACACTCCTTTCCCTCACATCTTTGAGCCTTTCTACATCCCAGACAAATGGAAATGCTATGATGCTCTTAGAAAAATGATTAACTACTGAGCAGTGGAACAGGTGAGAAATAATATCTTATACAGACARTTTGCCTATAAGGATTCTGACAGGATTACTGCAAGGTTTGGGGCTATAATACTACTTTTTATTTAGTTAGTTATCATGAGAATTGCCTCTTATGGCTTTGGGCCTTCAGTCTTAAAGGTGTCTGAATATTTTTAAGCACCACCATTGAAGTGAGTGTTAAAAATTAATTACCTTAATCAATCTGAAAATTAAATGACTTGAATCCTGAGAAGTGAAAASAATATGAAGTGAAGGGTGAGAGCAATACTTATGCAGAGAATATATTTTCATCTCTGTTAGAATATTCAAGTTACTTCATAGGCAAACCATAGTGTTAAATTTTATAATTTTTCGTTCTTAGGTTGGTCTGTAATTCTGCAGGACTAATAACACCCGATTTACCCTGTGTATTGGCTCTATATTGCAAACATACACAAACCATTAAAAAACCATTAAAAATATGTGAAGCATCTGTAGTGTCTTACAGTTCTGTTCAAGTACAGTTATAAGGCTAATATTCAATACTTATTCTAAAAATATTTTTTCTTTATGGTCTCTAATGTAATTTGATCATTGGAGATTTCTGTTTGCAGAGTACCAGGACTGTGAAGTAATGTATATTTCTGTGTCAGTTAATCACAGTTGGTAACATCTCTTTTTTCATTATAATATTATGCTGAGTAACATTTGATGGTAGAGTATCTGATCTRGATTTAGGGTTGTACATGGCTGTGRGAGAACTTCTGGTGTTTAATAACCAGAGTTTARCAGTTTAGAAAATTTACTAACACAATGTATTCTCTGCTCTAACTGGACAGAGTAACCTTGGTTTTGAGATACAGTCTTGATGGTTCTTGTACATGGGAAATTAAAAAAAAAAAAAAAAAGAAGAAAACAAAAGGCCTTTTTCCTTTTGAATAAGAAAAGTCTGCAATGGGCTGGCAGGGGATTTTTAGTTGTTAACCCCAAAGACAATAGTGGCATGGTGGGCCCTATATTAGGGGTGCCATCTTCTGTCCATTTTACCTGTGCATTAAACTGATTAAATTTAGGGCCATGGATAGAAGGTTGCCAATACCATTATGGTAATTTCCTTTGTATGCATAGTTACTTTCAGGAGACTTTTTTGCGTTCCACTGTTCGTTCCCCTCAATAACTGGTTGTGGAGTGCCTGTATGAGAAATGGGATTGCTACCAGTGAGGCAGTGTCTCCAAAATATAAAGCAGTTCCACTTTTCTCAAAAATGGCTTGTTATTGACATGCCAGAGCGTTTCATAGAGTCAGAGAATATGCTGAATTGGAAGGGACCCATCAGGATCAAGTACGACTCCTGGCCCTGTAGAAGACAAGAATCACACCATTTCTAAATGCTTCTTGAACTCTGTCAGGCTGGTGCTGTGACCCCTTCTCTAGAGCCTATCCCGGTGTCCAGCCACCCTCTGGGTGAAAAACCTTTCCCTGATATCCAGCCTAAACCTCCCCTGACTCAGCTTCATGCTGTTCCCTTGAGTGCTGTCACTGTTTACAAGAGTGAAGAGATCAGTGCCTGYCCCTCCTCTTCCCCTCATGAGGAAGTTGTAACTGCACTGAGGTCTCCCCTCAGTCTCCCCTTCTCCATTCTGAACAGACCAAGTGCCCTCAGCTGCTTCTCACAGCTTCCCCTCAAGACCCTTCACCATCCTCATGTCCCTCCTTTGGTCACTCTCTAATATTTTAATGGCTTTCTTGCGTTGTGGTGCCCAAAACCGTGCAAAGAATTTAAGGTGAGGCCACCCAGAGCAGAGTGGGACAATTCCCTCCCTTGACTGTCTGGCTTATGCAGTTCTTAATGCACCCAATTTCCTTGAAATTAAAGCTAAAGCTGTTTTCTGACCTGTCGTCTTTTTTGAATTCTGTCTAGTCAATTCTCTCTTTTTCATGAGAGTTGTCCTTTTATGTAGGTTGAAGTAAACTAATTAAAGACTTATTTCCTTTTTTTTTGGCACCACTGTAACAAAGTTAGGGAATCTTTCCTAAAGAAAATGGTTTGGTTTTATCTGTTCCTTGAGGTGAGTTACTGGGCTGTGCTAGGTAGCCTCTGATCTGTCACTTTTCAAAAGAAACCAAAGGACCGAATATTGTTACCTCTGTAAGAAAAGGGAGACAAAGTGAGGACATTTGGTGGTTCAGAGACTTTGTTAACTCCCTGTTCCCTCTATAGGATGGTAAAGTGAGCGAGGTATGAGCTGAAAAAATGGGTTCTGGGATTGCGTAGCATTTGCACACTATCCAGTTTTCACATTGGAAGTCCACACTAAACCTGCTCTAAAACATGGAGAAGTCATCTGCATTGATACTTATATTTCTCTTGTGGGCTGAACAACACACAAATATCAGAAGAGGTTATTGTTCAGCTGAAAATGTGGATTTAGCATATCAAAGAACAGGTTTATTAGGGGTTGTCTGAAAAACAGTGTCAAGACGCAGAAAACTCTGCTTTCTGGTTTGTCTAACAAAACACCAGATTTTGGGGCCCGTAGCACCACATCTTTTATTTTGACTGACTATATATTAGTGTCACAGAATGAGCTACTCAGAGTTTTTCTGTGTGAGAACATTAATGTGTCTTGGGGAGTATTCCCTTGCTTTTCTGTGCGCTGCACATTGGTCTTACATACTTGATACAGCAGTTGCAATAGATCTCCATCCTGCTTCAACTCCACAGAGTTTGCCTGCAAGGTAGCCCACTTATGTTTCTGAGGTAGCCCACTCTGTTTCAAAGCAATTTCAAAGGATTGCTTTGCATTTGCTTCTTTTCTACTCATTGTAAAATTTGTTACTTGCCATTGGTATGGAGTGAGGAGGTWATGTGTTCCAAACTCATGTGTAGTTCTAAGAAATGGTTTTACAGTTTGTGTGGAGTTGAGCACCATCAGTCCTTCTTGATCTTAGAGAAGTTGGGCCCCTTCTTGTCCTGCTGCTGGAGACAGMGGAGCTAGCAGTTCCCCGTGGTGAAGAGGGGTTTGGGGTTGGGTTTTGAATGGTCAAGATGGTGTCATGGTTGAACCCCAGCTGGCAACTCAGCCCTACACAGCCACTCTCATTTCCCCCAGARAAATAAGGGAAAGAGAGAACTAGAAGAGTGAAAATTGGATGCTGCAGTTAATTAAATTAGCATTATTATCTTAATGTACATTTAGTTTTATTCAAGCTGTGTTGACAGCATCTCACACATGGATTGTTGCTTATCTTGAGATTGTCAGTACAGATGGATTTCCTGCTCAAAGACAGTGTTTGTTAATGTGTCTTGTGTACTTCACTAGTGATACAGGCAAGAGTAAAGKCTCTGTCTTTCAGCAGCTTTTAGTTATTGAAATTTGTAGCTATGTTAGCTATGAGACAAATAACTTCCAGGTAGGCATCTGTGTTCCAGATCACTCTCTGTGGTTGGAAAACAGATAAAGATAAAAAAGCAGTGAGATTAGGATGGATATACATTTCCTGGCTAAATGGAACAATGTCTGGCTGTTTGTTTGGGGTGGGGCGAAAAAAAGAACTCCTAAAAGAAGAAACAGAAGGTAGCCATGAAACAGAAGAAAGTAGTAACAAATTTTATAAAAWATACTCTTGTTCACAAATATGTTGAGGGGTGACTGTAGCATAGAAATGGCAGATAGCTAAGTGCTTTTCTGTTAGCTTTTTCAGCTTTTACTACCACATTTGTATATTTTGTTTTTTTGTCAAGTTTTGAATTTTAAATCTGTTCTTTTCTAGGTTACAGTTTGCCTCTGTGAAATTGTGTGTGTATTTTGGAGAGACATTGTTACTGTTACAAACTTAGTCTCTAAAAATGCAAAGTTATCACATTGAACTTCATTGCAGAACTGTTTTATGAGAAATTTAATCTTGGTGCTTAAAGGTTAGATGATGTTAGGGGATCTTCGGGGGGCTGATTTAAATTTATTTTTCTTTCCAAGCATGCGTTTGAAATTGTTTGTGCTGGGAAACAGGAAGGGACCTAAYAGGTACTTTAGTTAGTAATTGTGTCTTCCTTGGGCTCCTGGCTATTCAGCTGGGCTTCATAGAGATTGACTTGAGCACAGGAAAACTGTAATTCCTCTCCCTGTTTGAAAAATAAGACAGAGAGACTACAAAATATTTTTAACCTGAGACTAAGAACCAGGTTTTTTCAATACATAAATCACAAATGTGGCATGCTAGACTGCCTGCTTAATAATGTGCTGAYTGTAACCCACTAGAATAAACAACCTCCAAAGGTTTGAGTAGGATGCAACATTCCTGGTTTATAATCTTTTSCTGCTGGATGACAAAAATCTTGCAAGTGGCCAGTGAATCACATCTTACTTACAATCAGTGAGTACTCAACATATAAGGTACCACTCTACTTGAGCTATGAGTTAGATGGTTGGTATGGCTGCTGCTAGAGTATATTTACACCCAGACCTTGCTGAAAATTCCTGCAAGGTCAATAATGAAATTATCTTTATAAAACTCCCCATAACAGGGAAGGTGTTGACTATAGTTGCTTTACAAGACCCCTCTTCTCTGTAATAGTAGAATGATAGTATATCTAGTAGAGCTTAAGAAAAAATGCGAAACAAAACTTTAGAAAAATACAAAAAAAATTCTTAGCATTCTATTGTGGGACAGAAGACAGTTCATCTTAATTTTTTTTTTTTCACAAATGGCAATAATTAGTGGTGTGTTGACACTAGGTAGCATTTGCAGCATTTCTAACTTCTGTGAGACTACCCTGGCAGCTTTAAAGATGTAATACAGTATTTAATACAAAATGAGTAAGTAAGTAATTGGTAATTTACTTTAGTTCATACACCTTGAAGTTAAGACATTATGAATTTAAGAAAAAGGATTACCCTGGAGTTTGCTGTCTGTTTAATGTGCGGATATTAGTTTCAGTTTTAAGATTTGTAATTTGTTTTGTCATCTTTTTCTGCAGAGAGGAGAAGAGCGACAGGAAAATACAGAAGCTGCCTTCAAAACTCTTGACACTTTAATCAGAACTTTTGGGTTTGGAATTTACATAGCAGACTTTTCTTTTAATTCAGTTATCCTTAATATTTATCTTGGCTATTCTTCAGCAAGTTCAAATTTTCCTTAATTATGAAATCAGTGATGGGCAGGTGATTGTTATAGTAAGTAGTTTCAGACGTATTTAAAGATATTCCAGATGTTGGATGAATATTGCACATTGCCATGCTTCACTAAGTTACATSTAGACTTCACTGTGTATATATTAGAAGCAGAATTTTATTCAATAAAACATATTATGCTTATRTTGTCTCTTAGTTTTGCTATTGTTTTGGAAAAACCCAAAGAAGGTATTTGAATGTGACTGTATTTTCAACAAAATAAACCTTAGACAGCCAGACCAGCTTGTGTGATGAAGACATGCTTTAACTAGTGGCATTAGAGTTTCACTTGAGTGGCTTTATGTAAAATAGTCCCTAATAATGATTTCCCTTTTTGCAAGGGGAAGTCCATTTTTTTTTTTTTGAGAAGGGAGGAGAGATTTCTTTGCTTTGCTGCTTTGAGTGAGAGGCTTAATTGATACATCTTTGCTGCAATATCCTTCCCTCTAGAAACTGAATGTGTCTGCTACTAAGCAATTGAGCAAAAGCAGTTCCTTCTTTTTGCCTGCTTTGCTCTCTGCACWAATCAGTCTCATGCTGCATTGCTTCTTATCAGATTGGGTAAGGTGTGGAGRCGTTGGGGAGATGGATGCCATTTCTGTGATTATTCAGGGGGGTCTTTCAGACAGRCAGAAAAATACCTTTGTACACAAACCTGCTCAGAACAATCCTCAAGGTGACAGCTGAAACACACCAGGGAGGAAGCTGAGGGGGATAACTTCACTGTAAATTCTAAGGAAAGTGCTAAATTGTTATATTTTCAGGTCTCCTACMGTTTTGTGTAAGATTCTGCATTCATAGTTTGTGCATTCCCTAAACAATCYCACAACTGATAATGAAGCTAGTTGTTAATGTGGCCAATCAAAATGAATGGTTGTCAAATCTTGTGAATCTCCTGTAAATGCAATGTATAGAACTTGTTTATTGTTTGAAATAAGATAGATGCATTACATAATTTATATTTTTTTGCTCTGGATGGAAGCTATTTTGGGCATATGAAGAAAAATGGTTTTAAAAATTATTTCTGTCTTTGTAGAACATCAATAGATATTTTAGTAACTGTCTCCTAAAAACATACTGTTACTGTATTTCAAAGGACACAAAATAGATCCAATTAATTGTACTGCCTTAGTAAAATGTACTTTGGTAATTAATAGCCTTAATACAGTATACTTTGTATTTACAGTTTTCATGGATAAAAGTGATTTCTAATTTAGTGCAAAGCTTAAATTGCCTGTATTGAAATATGGAATAATATATTTCTAATAAACATGTAGAAAATATTTGCTCTTAATGTGGACTGCTACAATCTGGTTGAGGGGCAGGTTTTGTATTTTTGGTGACTGGTGGTGTGTCCAATGGTATAAAAAAATGGTTTCTTTCTCCTGTGTTTTGGGTAATAGAGTATTTTTCCCTGGCAAAGATGGATTATGTTCTAAAATAGGTGCTGCTCCCAGAAGCCTACCTAGATGGCAGCATTCACTCACATAACCTGTGCTCAACAATGAGGCTGTCTCAAGTGCGTGTTATGGAAAAATTACTTACAGTTCTAAATTGGGMAAGAAGGTGTATGCTGCTACATACAAATAACTGTTTCTCATTAAGTTGCTTTATAATAAAATCCAAGGACAAGTCATATTTTCTGGTTTTTAACTACTTAGGTCTCCTAATTAGATATTCTAAGATTTAACCTGGCAGTGATTGTTTCAGTCTAACTCCTAAAGGAAAAATTGTGTCACTACTCCTTGCTGATAGTCCAKAAAATTGGTAATCTGTCTAGTCGTGCTTATTTAACACTAATTGCTGGAAATATTTACGGTACAAAGTGTAATGCTGGATCCTGAGATCTTCACAAAAGCATTGTCGAGTATTGGAAAAAGSTGCCTAGGGAAGYAGGGGAGTCACCATCCCTGGAGGTTTTTAAAAGATGTGTGGATGTGCCATTAGGGACATGGTTTAGTGGTGGACTTAGTAGYGCTGGGTTAATGGTTGGACTCRGATGATCTTAGAGATCTTTTCCAACCTGAATSATTCTATGATTCTATAAAAGGCATACACAGRCTTCATGGGACCTGGGATTTATTAACTGCAGTTGAAAGACTTATATCCTCTTCTGTCATCTAGCTCAGTTAAGACTGTAGTGCCATAACAACCTCACTGTAATAAACAGTGCACTGATTATATAAAAATAGGATTTAAATCATTAGAGGTATTCTTTCTCGTGGAAGTGCATGTGTTTATAAGAGGATTAGCCAGTAGTACATTCTCACTGCAGTAGCCAGGGGCCTTGACACAATGACCTCTGCTCCTACGGTCTGATAATCAATTCGGAGCCTATTAATCTTTCCAGACAGCTTTCTTGCTCCCATAGCTAAAACCCGGTGTTCCCGGTGCACTGCTATACTGCAGAAGCTCTGTTTTAGCCACATAACTTCAGAGGCAGCAACTGAAAGGAATCCATTCAGCAAGCTGGCAGAGATTGTTATCACAGCAGCTCATGGGGTTCAGTGAGCATTATATGTTCATAACAAAATAAGCTGACACAGTCTGTAAGCTCTGCCAGATTTCAGCAGACCCGAAATAAGGATGCAATTCTTTTGTAGCTCTTTTTCAGCTTAGCTGCTCTGCAAGATACACGTTTGTTCGATAGGGGAGAGCTACAGCTGACTTCAGTATAAACAAGATTTTTAGAACTTGGTTCWGTTGCTTATGCTTTGGCATCAAATACCATTTGAGACACCCTGGGGTATCCTGCATGGTCACTGTGTCTCCAGCTGCTGCTTCTATAGGTCCTATGTGATATCTGCCAGCCCCAAGTGTGTCTTTGGGTGCCTTAGGGCATCTCAAATAGCCCTAGATGCTGGCTTTCAGACATCTAAATGGAGCTCTTTGTTTTCTGGAGTTTTGGRTAACTGATGTCTGACTATTTGTCTTTGAACTTGCATAAAATGCCAGCACTGAGATTGATATATTCCTTGATTTTCAAAATAAATTGCTCAAATCCTCAGTAAGTATATAAGGTGGGATACATGATGTATGTCAAAGAAGGTATTGTCTCTTAGGTGATGGGCTGGTGTTTCACTGGGCTGTTAATTCCTCAAGGTGAATAATTTAGTGCAAAACTCCAGCCTTGGAGCTGTTACCTGGAGCTGGTTCCCATAATCAAGGTTTCTGATGGATATCTGAAGATAATGTGGGCAGGACCCGGTTCAATTTCAGCAAAGCCASGAGCAACAGCAGTGAGTTAATGGGACATGAGTCCTCAGCTTTCTGTAGGCTGTGTGTGGGATTCAGCTCAGGATTGAGCCACCTAAATGTGTCAAGATCTAGGTGTGCATGGCTGAGCAGAGCAGTTGAGATGGTACTAAGTTCCTTTAAGGTAATCTTGACTCCATGTGCAGGCTGAACTGACTCCATGGTGCCACTCTATGTGCTGTGACGTGTCCTGCCTGGCCCCTGGATGCTTTTGTGGGAAGAGCCAGATCTCCCACCAGTCYTCAGTCACACCCGCTGCTCAGGTCCATCTTTCACCATGCACAAAGTCCTCTGAGGCATCATTGGTAAAGTGTGGGCAGCAGGATCTAATTCTCCAGTGGCTGTGGCTGTCATGGAATCACAGCCCAAATGTAGWCATGAGATGTTTAACTTCAGATGAAATTACCCATTCCATGCTTTTGGCAGAAGGGAAAGAGAGCAGAGAGGAAGCACATCAAGGTTGGATGCTGGGGCCATTCACTAAGTGGTGCAAAGCTGGGAGAAGATGACTCAGTCCCTCAGTCCAGCTGCTACAAGCAGCATGGCCTAATCTGTACTTAGGATATGTCAGTCATCCCCAGCCTCCTAACAGAAAGAACTAAACCTCCTGATGRGCAATTCCAATTCATTTCAAGTTGCCTGTTTTTACATTTCAAGAGCAACACTAAAGCAGCCCCAGCTTTGATTTTATGTTACTTGCTTTGAAATTGCTTTATTGTCTTTGGTGATGTTTTTAAACCCTATTTTTGTCTGCCAAAGTAATTCTGCTACTCTAAGASCAGAAACGGGTGTCTGGTCTTGCTCATGTAGGGCTGTGGCTAGCTGTTCTGCAACTGACAGTAATGTGCCACCAGTGTCTCAGAAGGCGTCCCTGTTGATTCCTGTGTGTAATTAATTACTTTTATATGGTAATTAAATCATTCCTGTTTACTTGCACTCTGCTTGCAGCTGAGTACTTGCTGAAAAGAGAAATTGTCTGARTTTGTAACGCCTGTGGTTGCTCTCTTCTTGCAGTGTTGGTGAGCTCTTCCCTGCCTGAGCCACTGCTGGTTCCAGGCTTGAGCAGTCTCGGGCAGTTCTGAGGTCACGGACCCAGGCTGCAGGCAGATGCTTTCCTTCCATCTTCCCACCTGTGATGGTTTGGGCTGGCCTAGCTTTTAATTTTTTCACAGTGGCTAGTATGGAGCTCTGGCTTGGATTTKTGCTGAAAACAGTGCTGATASTACAGAGATTATGTGTAGTGACAGCCTTTGCTGGTCACCCCCCTTCTCCTGGGTGATGAGGCAGTGCAGACAAGCACAGTTGTTCCCCCTCCAGGCAAAGCCTGTCTGGTTAGCTCCCACTRTGAATTTGGGCTTTTCATGCTTGACCCAAACTTATCCTGCCATTCCCAGGGGGAAACCTAGAGGATGAAGGAGTTASTGGAGGTATGGGTGCGGGGGGAGGTGGGAAGAGCAGTCTGCRCTGCTGTCTCCATGCACGCACCTGTGGGTCAGAGAGGGGCCCCTGAGCACAAATGTGGTTTGCTTGGCTTCCCGGGGCTCTACAGGTAGCAAATCTGATGCTGCCCCTTCCCCTGTGCTGCCCTGCCAGTCTCAGCTGTGCTGAGGGCCTCGAGGCAGCCCTTGCCAAAGGTCTGACTGGCAAAGGGCACCATGGGCATGTGGAGCTGTGCTGGGATCCCAGGTAGCTTTGGTTTGGCTGGGGGCAGGAGGAGTCACAGAATCCTGTCCCCGTGGAAGCTGTGACAGTGGGACCGCTCGTGTCTGTGAGCTGGGGGACAGCTCTGGCTGCTCTGGAGCAGCACAGCAAGGCAGGACTCATTGGGAGCTGCGCAGGGGAGGTATTAGAGAGAGATTGTTGTTTTTCAGTGACAGCCTGGGACTTGA